GAATACCAAAAAAATATTAATTTATAATGTAATCCAATATAATAAATAGTAATTATTACGTAATATAATATAAAATATTATAATAAATAATAATCAATTTAAACTTATTTTAATCTATATATTACATTTTTTTTTTTATATTATATTATTAAATATTTGTTTCAATTGTATTTTGAAATATTATAATTGATTAATTTTTCAAGATGTCATTTTGGTGCGAGAGGTAAGATTTTTTTTTACATTAAAACCTTCATAGCTTGTTACAAGTAGCCTTTTTAGGTTAAAAGAATGTAGGTTACCAGTTTTTTAAAATTTGTTGGTTTATTCAATGGTGTCCCCATTCAAAATTTTCTTAATTGGGTTAGAGTTGTTTGTTTACCTCTTAATAGTTCAATTAAGAGATAACATCTAAATCGTTAAGAGATAAATATTGTTTGACAAAAAAAAAATCTGTCTCTTAATGATTCTAAAACCCTCTGAATAATTTTCTATCATGTGTCTCCCTTAACCATTCAGTGCATTAATTTCGTTGAAACAGTTACCAAACAATTATATTTCATTTACACTATATTATAATAGTATTTTAATCATTTTGACCGCTTAAACATTAAGCACCAAACTAGGGGTGCTATGGGTTGGATTGATCGGGTTGAATACATTTTAACAACTCAACCTAATGTTTGCGGTTTGAAAAATCTTAACCCAACCCAACCCAAACAAAAGTGCAACCCAACCCAAACCGTACGGGTTGGTCGGGTTGGTAGGATTGATATTTTGGTACATTAAAATATTATTCTAACCTTGAACATGTTATTTCTCTACACATAATTTCTTTTTCATAATCAACCATTTGATACAACTTATCCATACTTCTTACGTATATCACATTCAGTTAATTTTCTCAATTTACGTATATATGTTTACAGTTATTGAACATATATACGAATGAGTTATATAGATATGCGAATAGATTGAAAAGATGTGTATATGAATGGCGTAGGTGACAGTGTAATTGTCTATTGTATATATTAATAAAAATTCAACAATCATATTAAATCCAAGAAATAAATGGATATCAGGTTCATCGGGTTGGATTGGGTTGGATTCAAATAATAGTAACTCAATATCAACCTAATACCTACGGTTTAAAATTTTTACAACTCGATTAGACATCGGATTAAGTTATTTCGTATTGGATTGAGCTGATTTGATCGGATTGATCGGATTTTTGAACACCCCTACACCAAACCATTAAACAACTCCAATACAGCCGTAAGTCTAACGATAAAGTCACCTTTTTCATATGGGTTTTTTATTTATTTATGGAATTGAAATGAGTAAGTTCAAAGAAAGGGACATGATGTGCAGTTATTTTGTCCACACAAACACGAATAGAAGCACAAACACAGGCATGGTTTGGTAATACGGACGTCACCGTTGCAGCGGTGTGTTCTCTTCCTACGCGTGTGGTGTTGCTTTGCTGCCACGCCGCAACCTACCACCGTCTCTACGCCATTGATTCATTTCCAACGTCTTCTCATTGCTATACACCTCACCTCACCTCACTAACAATTCTTTCATTCAATCAAAATTTCAACCTTAGGGTTAGTTAGTTAATACTGTGTTCTTCCTTTCTTTCAAGATTTCAACCTAGGGTTTGTTAGTTAATACTGTTTTCCTTCCTTCTTTCGATTTGCTTTTCATATCACATGCTCTGTTATTCCATACAGGAATGGCGCCATTACCCTATACTCAACGAACCTCGTCGTATTTCTCTGCTCTCACCCAAGCCATCGACAAAAAGCTTCAGAGGGTTTGTCTAATTGTTTTTTATCGTTTCTTCATTTTAATCATTGTTAAAAGCTATTGATGATTTCATGATTGATCGGTGGAGATTTTGAATTTGTGCATTGAGCTTTTGTTCTTCCTGTCTTCTTTAGGCACTTGCTTCACCAACTCAGAGACGGGACTTGTTACAACAGCTCTTCGCAGACGTAGCTTTGGAAGTTGATGATCGAGCTAGGGGTAATCCATTCCAGAATGTTGCTTTTTCTTAATCGAT